CCCCCACCTGGGTCCCTGTGGCTGACTGTTCCTCTGTCTGGCTTCCTGTCTTTTAATCCCCTTTCTCCTGCTCTTCTTGTTTTTGGTTAGCCACCATTATCTTTACAGAAGCAGATTGCCTCATCCTTCTCCTGCAGAGCGGCTGGTGGGTTTGAACCACTAATCTTTTAGTTAGTAGCCTGATGCTTTAACCACTACACCACCAGAGCTCCTTTCTTCAAAATACTGAGGCATAAAAAGGCTAACTATCATCCACAAGCATAGTTTGTGATGGTGGATTAAAACAAAACCACCATAGGAACTTAACCACAACCTTGGCTACAATAGTAAATTGTTACCTCAATTGTTTACACAAGTTGTTTACCAAAGTTCTTTGGATTAAACTTTTAAAAGAAACTCTGTTATTGAATTGTAGACACAGAAATTGTTGAGATAAAGTATGTTTTGTTAAGTATTATTATTATTTTTTTTTTTAAGAAACAAACTCTGGTCCTAGCATGACAGTTCAATTAAGTAACTGCCAAAGAAACACCATAGCGCTTTGTCTAGGAATTTGATAATCAGTAACTTCTTTATATAAAACTAAATTCCCTATACTTATATTTATTTGAAAGACTTCTCTTGGGTGACTGTTGGAAGAGGCAAGAGCAATGGTGAAGTTTATCAGCCATTTGATGGGGAAGTGGAAAAAGATTTTAAGACATAGTTACAGCCAAACATACCTACCATCTCTATCATTTTATGAAAGGTTACGAAAAGGGTGGGGTAAGGGTGGGGTTGAGGACAGACTGTCTCTAGTGCTGGTTGGTGGAGAATGAGGTTACATCATGGACTCAACCTGGGAGGCAACAACCCCAAATTTAGTTGGCCCATGTTAACAAGTAGAGTGGGAAAGTGGCTCCAGCTAGAAGTGCTGGCCCAGTACCTGATCCAGTCTTCCTCCAGCTCATCGCATGACTCGCCACCCGTAGTGTAGTCTGTATCATAGTGGTCTTGCTCTGTTCTCCTTGACTTCCCGGCTCTTCCCTTGGTGGGAGCCCGTTTTGAAGGTGTCTCAAAGTTACTGCTGCTGCTGTAACGAGGCTGTCTGTAGTCATCCACAGGTGAAGTCAGGGGAAGCTCCCGAGCCACCTCAGGCACCCTAATAAAACAGGAATCATTTCCTAGTGACCACTGGATACACTCCATTCCTCTGGCAATGCACTGTAACCCAAGAACCAGCAGCAGTAACCAGGACACATGCACATGCAGGCATACTCACTCACTCAAGGGGTTCCTATGCTCAACATCAAGCAGATCCCTAGCCTCCTACATTGGATTTAGCACTGGCTCAGTCCTCTAATACACACCAGCAGCGTGGAGGCTCATTTTCAATCTTTCTCCATAAAATGGATCGAAGATTTCATTTTCAGAAGTTCAAATTGATCTGGAAGAGGTGTTTACCTGACCTGTGCCAGAGACTTACTATGCAGAAGGCTACCAAGGACATGATTCTTTTCTACAGGTTCTTCCAGTTCCATGGAATGCTAAGTGGGAAGAGGAATGCACTTATAGGCCTACCTGTGGAAGCTTGACTCAAGCTCTTTGCAATAATAATTTTAGACTACCATATATCAATTTTATTTTCTGGATAAAATCTTTATATATACTTTCTGTTGTAATGAATTAAAGAGCTCATTAAAGATTATTTCTAAATTGCTATATTAATCCTGAAGCCATGCAGAATGAATGAAATGGAAGCATTTCATCATTACACATTTCATTTTTCTAATGTAATTATTTAATACTGTATCAGATTTTTAATCGTACATAATGTGTCTGCTACCAGCATGACAACCAAGTCTAACAGAGAGCTAAAATTCTAGATGCTGTTATTATTTGGCACCTGTAAACTTCTATAGAGTAACAGAAAGGCAAAGCTTAGGTTTCCTCTGTAGTAAAGCCAGAGAAGGACAAAAACTGAAAAAAGGACCAAAGAAAGGGCCTTGCTATTCAAAACAAAACAGAAAAATCAGTTGCTATTCAAGTATATTCCAACTCACAGCAACCTCTAAATCAACCATCTAAAATGTCTAAAGCAAAAAAGAAAAAGGTCCAGAGTTGTTGTGTTTTTTCCTCTTATTGCTTTCATCTTACAGCAACTGTAAAACTGTAGTCTTAGATTTCTAATAACATTTATAAATTTCTTGTAGACTCTTAAAGCTTTGGGTTCTATGTTGTTGCAGATGGGTTCCTTATTTATTCTTCAAAGTTTATTTAGGTAATGTAGCTTTGTATACTGTTAATGCTACTCTTAATGGAAGGAAAATGTGACTTTCTCTATGAGTCAATGATTAACAAGTTCCTAGATACTCTGCCAACACTGCCAGGTACTCTACTTCTTTGCTTTGAGGAAGTGGAACAAATGGAGCCAGGGGCCAAATGGGGAGGAAGCTAAACAGCTAACCAAAATAGGAAAAAGGGGGCGCATATAATTAAATAGAAAAAAAACTAAAGTGGGCCTCCTGCCTTAGTTTTATGATCTTAGATGTTGATATTAGAAGTCTTTACCTAGGAAATCTTCCATATCCCCTCTTCTTACACCCTTTAAAACACTAGACAGTAATACACTTGACCTAACATGAAAGCTAAAAACGAAATACTTAAAAAGTATATGTAAGTATTGAGGAAGAGGAAGACATAGAGAGGTACATGGAAGGTACAGACAACAAAGATGAACCCTTTTGCACATACAGTACTGCGTTATCAGTGAAGGCAAACATGGGTAAACAGGTGGATAGATAGGTGGACAGGCTAAACTAGTAGGTATGTCTATGAAGTGAGGAGTATATCCAAGACCATGTATAGGGTTGGCAGATAATGGTTCTATAAGTGTATTTGTATGATCTGAATTCCCAGGTGTATAGTAGAGCTGACAAGGGGCAAAGGTGTACTCATTCCTTGTTCAAAGCCAGCTACCCAGAGGGACCAAGTACTTGAACCTGTGGGCTCGGGACCATAGTCGCAGGGGACATCAAGCTCAATTGGCATAATATACTATACAAAACATTGTTCCACCTCCTACTTTGGTGAGCAGTGGCTGGGATCTTATAAGATTGCAAGCAGCCATCCAAATGCAACAATGGGTCTCTTCTCATCCAGAGCAAAGAAAAATGAAGAAAACAAAAAATTCATGGAAACAATTAGTCCCAGCAACTGGTACACCATGCGATCTGCAGCCTATACGACTATGAGACCAGAAGAACTAGATGGTGCCTGGCTACCACTGTCAACCACTTGGAGGGGGATCTATGTAGGAGATCCTGGATAAAGAGGGAGAGCAATGTGGAACAAAACTCAAAATCATTTGGGAGGAAAAAAAAGGTGGGGACCAGGTTTTCTGGTCCGATAGAGCCTGGTGGAACCACTGAGGCTATGGCCCTTAGTTGCCCTTCAGGTCTGGAATTGAACCCACACCTGTGGTTTCCAGCCAAACAAAAGACAGGCATATGAGTTGAACATTTACCTGAGGTAGATACACTTCTTGGAGAGAACAATCATGGGAGAAAGAAGGGCTGCTTATGCACAGGGAGACATGGGGATTATAATCAATGTCATGAAACAAAATGTATATGAACTAGTGCTGTATGGAAAATGAATTTCCTTTGTAAACTTTCACCCAAATCACAATTTAAAAAAAAAGTTAATCCACCCTGGGTATGAACAGGTTAGTAGCGGGTGAAATTGTGGTGAATGAATCACTTTTATATGGCCTTTCTTAACGTGGTCTTGGGTCTTGTGACTTATACAAAATGATTGGGTTGGACTACGCAAGTAAGGTGGGCAACTAAGGGGACTGGAGCTTGCTAATAATGCAGGTAGGCTGTATAGCACACTATTGAGGAGATTGGTCAGCTTTGCCATCCTCACGAGGCTTAAAGGAGAGCCAATCCCAGAGCAGAGAGGGGACTTCACTACCACCAAGAAGAGCAGAGTGCATCCTTTTGACCTGAGAACTGAGCCGAGAACCTCTTAGATGCAGGAGATAGAGACAGTGAACAGTAACACCAGAGATGGCACAAAAAGCAAGAAGTAGCAGCAGAAAAATAGTGGCAGCAGATCTGCATGAGATGGCATGGTGGGTATCCCAGCCCACAGAGCAAGGTGGCTACAGTGGGATGGTGACTCAGAGAGCGAGCCAAGCACCTTCAGGCCAAGGTTTACTGGTGGAGTGGAGTGGAGTGCACCCTGAACCTTCTGGCAGAAATAAAGAGCTTTCTAACACTTGCACAAGCAGAGCAGAGACTGTCCTGATCAAACAACTATATCCTAAGTTGTTCCTGATCCTGAATCATAACCTGTTGTTGCTGTTAGGTGCCATCAAGTCATCTCCAACTCATAGCGACCCTATGTGCAACAGAATGAATGAAACACTGCCTGGTCCTGAGCCAGGCCCATGATCCCTGCTATGCCTGAGCCCAACATTGCAGCCACTGTGTCAATCCATATTGTTGAATGCCTTCCCCTTTTTCGTTGACCCTCCACTTTACCAAGCACAATATCTTTCTCTAGGGAATGGTCTCTTCTGACTACATGACCAAAGTAGGTGAGACGAAGCCTGGCCATTCTCACTTCCAAGGAGCATTCCAGCTGTACTTTTTCCAGGATAGATTTGTTAGTTCTTTTAGCAGTCCATGGTACTTTTAGTATTCTTCGCCAGCACCACAACTCAAAAGCTTCGACTGTTCTTTGGTCTTCCTTATTCATTGTCCAGCTCTCACATGCATATGAGGTGACTGAATAAACCACGGCTTGGGTCAGGCACACCTGACTCAAGGAGCTATCTTTGCTATTCAGCAGCTGAAAGTGGTCTTTTGCAGCAGATGTGTCCAATGCAATACATCATCTCATATCTTGACTACTGCTTCCATTGGTGTTGACTGTAGAACCAAGTAATATGAAGTTGCTGACCACTTGGATCTTTACTCGATTAATCATGATGCTGCTTATATAGGTCCAGTTGCAAGGATTTTTGTTTTCTTTACATTGAGTTGTAATCCATACTGAAGACTGGAGTCTTCAACCTTCATTAGTAAGTGCTTCAAGTCATCCTCACTTTCAGCAAGCAAAGTCGTGTCTCTGCCTGTTGCAGGTTGTTAATGAGTCTTCCTCCAATCCTAATGCCACATTTTTTTTTTTTTTAAATTATGATTTGGGTGAAGATTTACAGAGCAAATTCACTTTCCATACAGCAGTTTACATATACTCTGTCTCATGACATTGACCACAGTTTACCACAATGCAACAGCTCCCCTCCCACTTCCTCCCTATAGTTACCTCTTCCCTGTGTCCATCCCTCCATGGATTCCTGCCCCGAGCTGTCTCCCTGTGCATAAGCAACCCTTCTTTGTTCCATGATTGTTCTCTCCAAGAAGAGTATCTACTTGAGGTAAATGTTCAACTCATATGCCTGTCTTTGTTTGGCTGGAAACCACAGGTGTGGGTTTAATTTCAGACCTGAAGGGCAGCTAGGGGCCATAGGCTCAGTGGTTCCACCAGGCTCTATCAGACCAGCAAACCTGGTCCCCCTCCCCCTTTTCTTTTTCCTCCAAATGATTTTGAGTTTTGTTCCACATTGTTCTCCCTCTCCATCAAGGAGCTCCTACATAGATTGCCTTCCAAGTGGATGACAGTGGTAGCCGGGGACCAACTAGCTCTTCTGGTCTCATAGTCATATAGGCTGCAGATCGGATGGTGTGCCAGTCGCTAGGACTAATTGTTTCCATGAATTTTGGTTTTATTCATTTTTCTTTGCTCTGGACAAGGACAGACCCATTGTTGCATCTAGATGGCAGCTTGCTAGCTTTTAAGATCCCAGTCGCTAC